CTGCCAGACGTCCTGCTGCGTGCCCAGCTCCTGCCAGACGTCCTGCTCTGGTTCCCTGGACTGCATCCCCACCTGCTGCCCTCCCCCAGGCTGTGGGGGCTCCTGCAGTGCCCCCTGCATGGTTCTGCTGTGCCAGCCTGTGTGCGGCTCAGCCATCTCCTGCCAGTCAGCATGTGGCTGCCCGTCCCTGTGCTGCCCAGTGGCCTGCGGCCAGGCCTCCTCCTGCAGCTCAGCCTGCTGCGTGCCCAGCTCCTGCCAAGCATCATGCTGTATGCCCATGAGCTGTAAGCCCGCTGTGTGCGTGCCCGTGACCTGCAAGCCCGCTGTGTGCGTGCCCGTGACCTGCAAGCCCGTTGTGTATGTGGCTCCCTCCTGCCAGTCCTCTGGGGCCTGCCAGCCCTCCTGCCCCACCCTGCTCTGCAGGCCTGCCCCCTGCGGCACCCCTACCTGCTGCTGATGAATCACCTGGAATACCAGTTCTCTACTGACCTCTCCCGCCATGTCTCATTACCGAATCAGTGATGGTGTTTTCTTCTCCATAAGAGCTTAGTGACCTATTAAAAATAAATCTCTCTGCTCCTCAGCACTGTGTCTTTCTGTGATTTCACCCTGAAGCTGTCTCACCCTGTCCCCTGCTCGCTTGGACAAGCCAATGGCCGAGAAGTGCCATCCAAGGGTGGTTCTCCTGGGGCAGTCATGCCCCTCAGCATGTTGGGGAGCCCCACCAAGAAAAGCTGTAATCCAGGCTCTTAGATATGAGTGTGGCATTCCTTCCCACTGTTTCAAGTGAGGACTTCATGCACGGTTCTTTGATCCTAGAAAGTGCCGATGAGGGGCAAATGATGGGAGGAAGAGACACAGCCCGAGGGACCCGCAGTGGCTTCCCGGGGAAGCAGTTCATTGTGTGTTGTCCCAAAGGTTGTACCAAGGAGCCAGTGGGACAGGGACGCAGATTTCAGCTCAAAGAACAAAGAGCTCCCTAAATGCCAGAGCTACCCTACAGAGAACGGGCACCTGGAGGTTGTTCCAGCTTCTGGGAGCTGAAGGCTTCAAGAGAAGCTACGTTCACTCCACTCTCCCAATAAGAGGCAGACCTGGAATGAACCCACATGTCCGTCTACAGGGATGCAGAAAGCAGGCACGACAGTCCTACAAGGGAGAAGGGACCAGCAGGGAAGAGGAGCACACTGCGTTTGCCACCACGTGAATGGGTCTCAGAACACGGTGTTGGTGGGCGGAGCCGAGCCAAAGCGCCTGCAGCATGATCCCCTTAAAGTGAGGCTCCAAGACAAGAAAACGAGTTTCTTCTTTCAAAGATCAGAACCGAGGCTGCTTCTGGAGGATTTGGATGATGCTGGCTGGCAGAAGAGGCTATCTGGAGAGGGTGGTGGGATCCACGGCCTGAGCAGAGGGCACAGGTCACATCCGGGGCCCTGAGAAGGTTGGAGCAAGGTCAGGATGTGGGTCCTGACGGGGTTTGGGCTACTCAGATGAATGCCTTTGTCAAAATTCATCAAGTGAAACACCCAAGATTCATATTATTTCACACACAAAAGCATAAAAATTGAATTCCTGTTCATGGTATGCTTCCTAAATGTTTGAGTGGAACGTACTATTGCTTGTGACCTACTTTGAGATGCTCCAAGAAACTACGAGGTGCAGAGGGAGGGGTGGTTTGATGGGCAAGTGTCCAAGAAAGTACATGAGGCCCAGTGTTAGCAATGGGCTTGAGGAATGGGGATGTGGATACACGCAACGTTTAATTCTCTCCATTTTTCTGTGTCTGAAATATTTCATAATAAAATGAAAATGAAAATAATCGTTGAGCTAAGCAGATTAAAATAAAATTTTCCTTTAAAGGAAAAAACAGAAGAAGACACAAATGGGTTTCTTGCTCTGGGTGGGAAATTAAACCGAGAGCCTGCATGCTGTGGTGATCTAATATTCACTGCACATGGGCGCATGGTGTTCCAATGCAGTAAGGGTGGACTGTGGCTTGGCCAAACACCCAGAGTACTGTGCTGGTTGTGGGAAAGGCAACACTCCGTGAGAGTGGACGCCACTGTTCAAGATGGCGGACTGAGCCCACCGCTCCCGTCTCAACCTTCCTGGGACCCACTGTGGGGGAGAAGTAAGCTTATGATGGTCGAGGGACTTGGCAAATACAATGGGAAGTGGCAAGTGTGCTGACCCCAAGGCAGGGGCCCTGAAGCGGGACAGGACTTGGTCCCCATGAGCAGGCCCAGTGAGGACAGGTGTGTCCTCAATGGAGGGGAAGAGCCAGGGCCACCCAGCCAGGATCCCCGAAGGCCGAGTGTCCAGCAGTCCCACCTCTCCACAGAACACCACCAGCTGTATCTCTGGGACAGTAGAACACCTCACCCAGGAAGGGCTAAGGTTCCTGGAGAGCTGTTGGCACCCCCAAGGACATAACTCTCATTCTGGCTTCTGGGCTCCCAACTTTCTTATCCCCAAGTGAAGCCCACCACCCAGAAGACCCCCATCCCAACCCCAGAGTGCCATGTCAGTCTCCCCACACGGGCGAGCTTTCTCTAACTCAGCACAGACTGTCACATGGTGGAGGAGGAGCCCAGACCACCAAGGACCACCCCCATGTCACCCCAGCACACGAGCAAAGCCAGTGGCATGAGAAAGAAAGCCCGAGACCATCAACATAAAAACACACCCCAGAGGAAGTATATAGTTTACAAAGAAGAAACCACCTTTGAAATGAAAATTTAAATTAAATTGAATTTTAAAATCTTAAATATACCATCAACATGTTAGAGCCATAAAACGAGGGCAAGAGGCTGTGAAAAGGTACACTTAGAAAACTGACCCCAAAAAAGTCGTACATATCAAATGTACTGTTGATATTTAAAATTAAATAGAGGGGCTTGGAGGTGAGGTTGAGAAATCCCTCCGACTTAGAACAAAACGTTGAGGAGGTAGAAAGTATGAGGGAAAAGAAAGCAGCATGAGTGACCCACCCTGGGGGTGTGGCCGTGTGGGATTCCCAGAGTGAGAACAGTGAGGACACAGGGGGATGTGGAAATGCCTCCCTGGGGAGGAACCTGTCCCACAGTGGAAGACACAGCCTCCAGCTTTGAAAAGACTAACCCATGCCAGGAAAAATGAATGGGGAAAACCCGACACATCCTGTAGAAACTGCTGAACATGAGGGATAATAAGTGGTTCCTAAAAGCTTCCCCAGAGAACAAAACAAACAGAAGTCATCTGCGGAAGAATAAAGCTCAGACCGGCCTCAGACGTGCCATTAACAGTGCTGCATGCATCACACTTCAGGAAGGGAGCTCCCGGCGTCCTGGGACTGGGGTGCAGCCTGTGCCTCCGGACATAAGCGTCGTAAACAGACAGAGGGGACAGAAGCGTGTAAACGGCAAGCGAGTGAGCAGCCGACACGACAACACATCGTTGGTCATAGATGTACTAAATAAGCACGTGTGTTTTTCTAAAACAGAGTGACGTCTTTTTTTTCATGCAGTCATCTGCTTTTCAACTTTTTTTATTTTTTTAAATATTTTTTAAAGATTTTATTTATTTATTTGACAGAGAGAAATCACAAGCAGGCAGAGAGGCAGGCAGAGAGAGAGGAGGAAGCAGGCTCCCCGCTGAGCAGAGAGCCCGACGCGGGGCTCGATCCCAGAACCCTGGGATCATGACCTGAGCCGAAGGCAGAGGCTTAACCCACTGAGCCACCCAGGCGCCCCTCAACATTTTTTTAAAGCAGGGGAAATCGCATCCAAAAGAATAAAATACCTGGCGATAAATTTAACCATGGGGGGAAAGACTTGTACACAGACAGCTGTGGCAGTGCTGCAAGAGCTGGGGACGACGGGCGTGGATGGAAGGACATCCCATGTTCATGGATGCGAGACAACGTTAAGGGGACAGGACCGCCCAAGGCGACCTGCAGAATCAACAGAATCATATCGAAAGCCCAAAGCCTGATCCTCAAAGTCACACAGAATTGATAGGGGCCTAGAATAGAGTCATCTTGGAAAAGAGGAAGAAAGTTGGAGGATTCACAATCACTGATTTCAAAACTTACCGCAAAAGTGCAGCGACTGAACCAGGTGGCAAAGGACAGACATACAGACTGATGGAGTAGAGCCACCGTCCAGAGATGCACCCGTGTATTTATGTCCAACTGGTGTTTGATGAGGGTTTCAAGACTATTCAGTGGGGGAAGAAATCATCTTTTCAAGAAATGCTGCTGGAAAAGCCAGATTTCTACATGCAAAATAACTAAGTTGGACCCCCCACCTCACCCCACATACAAAGATTAAAAATGGATAAACATCCCAAACGTAAGATCTAAAACCAAAGTGTCTTAGAAGAAAACACGGGGGGAACACTTTCTGACCTCGGAACTGACAACGCACTCGTAGTAAGGACGCCAAAGCAGGAAGATCAGAAGAAAAACATAAATTGGACGTCACCAAAATTCAAAACTTTAGTGACTCAAAAGACACCATCAAGAAAGTGACAAGACAATCTACAGGATGGGAGAAAATACTTGCAAATCGTGTATCTGGTAAGAGTTTGACATCCAGAATACATACAGAACGTGTACAACTCCGCACCAAAAAGACAAGCCACCTGGTCTGACAACGGGCAGAGGACGTGAGTGGACATTTCCCTGCAAAGTTGGACGATGGTCAGCACACACACGAAGAGATGCCCCACGTCATTAGTCATCGGGGAAGCACAAACCCAACCACAGTACTGTTTCCCACTCTGCGGAAGGGCTGTAATTAGAAAAGGACCCAGTGTTGGCGAGGATGTGGAGGGACTGGAGCCCTCAAACATTGCCCATGAGAACACAGAGGGAGCACCTCTGTGGGAACACTTGGGCACTCTCCATATGCCCCCAGGAGTTCCTCTCCTAGGAATACACCCCAAAAAGGATAAAGGGGTTTCAGATGACCTTTGCAGCATTATTCACAACAGCCAAAATGTAAAAGCAACCCAGGGGTCCGAGGACAGGTGGGCGGGAAAACAAAACGTGGCCCATCCATTCCGTGGCTCGCTCTTCCCCTGTGAACTGAAAGCAGGGCTGACCCCTGCTTCCTGGAAGAGCCTTGAGGACGTGATGTTGAGTGAAATGTCACAGAGGGACAGAGTCTGGTTCCACATATAGGAGGGACTAGAGGACCCAGACTCAAAGACAGAGAGTAGGGTGGGGGTGCCGGGGGCTGGGGAGACGGCGGAACAGGGAGGTGGTGTTTTGTGGGGATAGAGCTTCAGATCAGGATGATGGTAAAGTCCTGAAGATGGACGAAGGCAACAGTTGCACAATGGGAATGTACTCAGGGCCCCTAAACTAGCCTTAAAAATACATAAAATGGCAAATTTTATGTTACATACATTTTCCCGCAGTTGAAAGAATTTTTAAGGCACGTGGAACAGAAGAACACAGTTTTGGCAAATGTCACAGAACGTGTGCTTGTGATGATCTTTGAGGTGCGCAGGTGACTGTGGGCACAGGGAGTGTCGGCGGAGCTCCCGCCCATGGGCTCAGGGCCGCATCCAGGCGACTCAACTCGAGATAAGCTTCTGGCTGCGCACACCTGCTCCCCAGCGGGGCAGGGCAGCTCCTCACCGTGGCCCTCGGAGGCCTTACCCACTGGACAGCCATGGGTGTGAGCACCGCCGGCCTTCCAGGGCCCAAGTGTGCCTTCTTCGGGCGTCAGAGGGGCATGGGCAGCTGTGGGCCAAGATGAGGACTGAGAGATGGAGAAGCATTCGCCCCCAAGCACTCGTCTGGAAAGCTCAGACCCCCCAACCGATTTCCCGCGAGCCCCACCCCACACTGGACAACAGGCCTCCCCAGAAGGCTGGCCCCTACGGCCCCCGTCTGTCCGAGGCAGCGGGCGTTTCTCACGAAGCCCCCACTTTGAAATGCCACGTCAGGAAAGATGGGGCCGGTCGGATCTCTCTGGAAGCCAGGGGCCTCCGCCCAGAGGGCCCGTCGCAAACCCAGGTGGCCGCCCAGCAAAGACCCTCTTCCCTTCCTTCCCATCTCACTGTAAATTCCTGCCTGCTCAGCAACACCAGTCCTACTGTGTGACCCTCCATTAAATCTGCCTTCCTCGCTGGTCACTCGTGTCTGGCCGTGTTGTCCACTGACGGTGGCCGCATGTGTCCCATCCATGCCCTCTGGGAGCTGCTGCAGAGAACCCAGCCCCCGCACCCACCTCAGCTCAGAAAGGAGGGGCCCATGGACCAGCAACACCCCCCCAGGCCCTCGGCTATCATCAGCCACACCCCACCACGTTCGAACTCTGGGCTCCTGCCAGGCCCGTGGGGGCCCCCAGACTCCCCAGAGATGCCCCTCACCGCCTCCAGAAGGGGACCCCAAACTGTGGGGAGCCACCCGGCTCTCCCTCCATTCCTGATGCCTCTGGGCGCTCCCAGTCCCTGGCCCCTCCCACGGCCCCACTCTCTGGACCCGAGGGGCCACTACAGATGGGCCTGCCCAGCACAGACCGCGGCCCTGCGCCGTCTCCTGCACACTTCTCAGACCCCCCGCTGCGATGGGGGGCAGTCAGCGGCAATCGCCACACAAAGCCGGCCGTCACGGCCAGGCCACCTACAGGGGCCTCCACTGGCCATGCTCCACTAGGCTCAGACCCCCTCAGGTTGGCCAGAACTTGGCACCCGAGACCCCTCCTTCCCCAAGTGCTGGTTCCCCACTGTCCCCACTGATGCAGCTCGCCAACAACCCTGCCCCACACCCAGGACCCCTGCAGACGGTTCCCCTGCCCAGCTGCCAGCTCTCCCTGACCACTCCTCCCCTCAGACTCTCCAGCCCCAAGCAGCTTCCCCCCTCCCTGCTCCCAGCTGGGCTAAGTCTCGCTCTACCAATGACCTGCCTCCTGCAACCTCATGTCCCACTGTTTGTGTACGCTCCTGCCATAACTAAGCCGAGTCCTGGTGCTCTCCTAGAAGCAGCTCCTTTCCAGGTGGTTCCAGCTGCCGGGCACCCGCCGTGCACCTGCCCAGACTCCAACACCAGCAGGTCTCGATGACCCTCTCCCAGATGCCAGATGGCTCTCTGCTTCCCGGGGTACCGGCATCCACAGCAGAGAACATGTGCCGCGGGTTCTGACCCAGCTCTTCTGCGCACTTGTGTGGTGTGTGGTTCAAGTGCTTACTCATGCCTCAGTTTCCCCATCAGTAAAGTGGGCACAGCAGGGTCACGAGGTTGTTGTAAGGGTCACTGGGTTGACATGTACAAAGCTGCTCAAAATACTTACTGGCATGAAGACCGATTACACACGTGCTTGCTGATGTGCTAAAATATAGGGCTTCCAGCCACTCATGGGTTCAAGGACTCAGGAGAGAATTATATCCCCAGATAAAGACGATATATGCAAAAAAAGAGAACAAAATATGTGTATGATTCTGCTGAGTGTAGAGGAGCCAGGGGATGAATAGGACAGAGCCCCAGAGAGATGCTGGGAGCAGGGCTGAGGGCGGGAGCAGGAGCCGCTGCCCCTCCAGGGTCATGAATGATGAGCACCTGCTGTGGCCGTGACCCAAATCCCCAGGACCTGCTCCCACGACAAGGAAACAGGCTTTCCGGGGCCTCGTGACGGAAGCACACAGCCCTCAGGTGTATATAAGCCCAGACACCCCAATCGTCTCACACACACACACACTCACACTCACACACACACTCACACTCTCAGCCTCCTCCAGCCCCACCGCCCCACCATGGCCGCGTCCACCCTGTCCGTCTGCTCCAGCGACCTGAGCTACGGCAGCCGCGTCTGCCTGCCCGGCTCCTGTGACTCCTGCCCCGACTCCTGGCAGGTGGACGACTGCCCAGAGAGCTGCTGCGAGCCCCCCTGCTGTGCCCCCACCTGCTGTGCCCCCCCCTGCTGTGTCCCCACATGCTGTGTCCCCAGCTGCTGTGACTCCAGTTGCTGTGCCCCAGCCTCCTGCCTGACCCTCATCTGCACCCCTGCGAGCTGCGGGTCCAGCCCCTGCCAGTCAGCCTGCACCAGCCCCTGCCAGCCCTCCGGCTGCAGCTCCTCCCCCTGCCAGGGAGACTGCTGTGTGTCTGTCTGCTGCAAGCCTGTCTGCTGCACCCCTGTCTGCTGCACCCTTGTCTGCTGCACCCCTGTCTGCTCTGGGCCCTCCCCCTGCTCGGCCTCCTCCTGCTGCCAGCCCAGCCCCTGCTCCTCGTCCTGCTGCCGCCGGTCCTCCTGCGTGTCCCTGCTCTGCCGCCCTGGGGGCTCCCGCCAGGCCTGCTGCGTGCCCGCCTCGGCCCAGAAGTCCTGCTGCTGACAGGGCCCGTCTCCCCCGGGGCCAGTAGGCTCAGTGGGCACCCCCAGCTCTCCCCCTGCCTCCTTCAGGATCTAACCCAACACAAGTACTGGTGTGCGTGTGGCACAAACCATCTTCGGACCCTAGTAACCAGGGCAGAGACCGCCTGCGGCCTCCACACCACGCCTAGATGAACCTGACACAGCCCTCCCCGCTCTTGACCCGGGGCCTCCTGCCCCATCTCTGCCCCTCCTGAAAGCCGTCTGCCTCCTCCCCGCACACACCTGAGCTAACTGAACACACTTGCAGGGATGCCGGGTGGCCCCGTCGGCCAAGCCTCTGCCTCTGATTTCAACTCGGGTCCTGGTGTCAGGGTCCTGAGATCGAGCCACACTTTGGGCTCTGCACCCAGCAGGGGGTCTGCTTGGGTTCTCTCCCTCCCTCTGCCCCTCCCCCCCCAAATCAATGACCAGTCTTGCATCATGGCCTCTGTTGGTCCCCTCTCGCAGCCTGGCTTTGCTCGTGGTTCCCACCCTGCAGACTAACAATCCCGACTTCAGCAATCCTGCTGACAAGCCTGTATCAGGAGCGTTTCCAACGACACTGAGCTGAGGCCCACGCTGGGGGTCCCCATCCGGCACTCCACACAACTCTGCGGTGGCCCCACTGAGTGTTCGGGACGCAGGTGGCCACAGCCTCCTGGACAGCAGATCCTTGGGCGAGAGGGCCCCGTTGCCCCAGGCCTCTGTCTTCCCGGTCAGTCTGGCACTAGGAGGCTGGGTCCAGGTTCACTTCTGGGCGAGGAGGACGCTGGGCCAGGGCCTAACCGGGGCCACAGCCGGGGTGGAACATTTCTGCGGACCGCCGGCTTCCCTCTGCCTCCCCTTGAACTTCAGGGTTTTATTCCAAGGTCTGGATCCTGCCCATCTCTGCCGACACAGGCCAGGGACGCGTTCTGTCCCCGGCCCCAGGCCCAGCCTGGAGTGGAAGAGGTCAAGAGGAAGATGCCGGAGGATAAGTGACTTCGAGGGTCCACACTGATGTCTGAGGCCCAGGCCTGCCACCCTCTGGGGGTTTTCCATCAAGGCCAGTCTGGATAGGGCCCCCACCTTTCCTGAAGCTTCCTGAACCCAGGCCCCACTCCTAGACAGAGTCACGTCCTAACCTACAGCCCCCTGCCTCCATTCTCCCCAGGGCTCCCTCCAGCTCTAGATCTTGGCCTGTTACTAGCACACCACCCCCCTCCCAGGAGGCCATGAGATGCCGCAAGCCATTCCCCAAAGGGAGGAGGTCGACAGTGAATGCATCCCTTAGATAAGCCTTCCCACAGTTACAACCGGGTCGTGTGAATGGCGGAGGACAGACTTGTGTCCTACAGTCCCCCTCCCACATTCTGGAGCTGCCCAGGCAGGTGGGAGTCCTTCCCCTGCTTCCCTGGGGCCTCTGCCCCTGCCCTCGTGAGACCCTGCTAGGGAAGAGAGCGTGTGAGAAATCAATTCTCCCTGCAGTTGTGGGGCCAGAAAGCCCCGGGACTCTGCCCACCACGACCTCCTCTACAGCTTCAGCAGCTCCCAGCAGCCGGCTTCTCCTGCCTCCAAACCCCGGTGCCCCAGGGACACCCCACCTGTGTGCCTTAACCTGCTGATGAAACCCAAGACCCTTGCCAGAAACAGGTATTGAAATGTGTCCAACACAACACTTAGATTTCGAGGGGAGATGAGTGTGTGAGAACAGTTATCAAAATACTTTTAAAGCAAGTGATGCTGTGAGAAGCTCGCTTTCCCACCAGGGCTCTAACAAAGGGGGCAGCGGGTTCTCGTGCAGATGGGAGCGGGAGGCACACTTGTAACGGGAGGCAGGACGCTGGTGGCTTCGTGGGCACCCGGCTGGGCGCTAGAGGTGTGGCAGCCTGCCTTACCTCCGCCTCCCTCCCGGGAGTGGGGGGTGGGGGATGGGGGCTGCGTCAGAGTTAGGAAACATTCAGGGCCCTAAATTCCGACCCCCAAAACGGGGGGGGGGGGGAGCCCACTGCTCACCGGGAGCACACACCCGGGCAAGAGCACACACCCGGCCAAGAGCACCACTTTAACCAGAAAGGAGCCCCAAAAGCCGAGCGGCCTGCACGCGGGTGCCTCTGGCTCTGCAGGGACATCACCGGCACTCTGTCACCAGCACTGGGGCCCTTTCCCCGGGGTGACCCCAGACAAGGGGCCCTCAGCCTGCTGCCCTGGCCGGTCAGCCGCAGCCCTGCGCCAGGTGCCGCCCCTGGACGTCCTACACCTGGGCCCGCAAAGGCCCAGGGGAGCCTCCACCTCAGTGAGACAAATGTCATCAGTGGGGGTCTCCCCGGTTCTCCCCGCCGCGCAGGGTCATAGTCGCGCACACACTCGCGGGCGCGCACACGCGCACACGCCCGCACACGCGATCACATGCACACATTCACACTCGCGGGCGCTCACGCCGCCGGCCCCGCCCGTCCTCCCGCGCTGCTGGGGTCTGAGTCCACCCGGCCCCTGCCGCCCGACCCCCCCCGTCGTCCGGGACCCGGAGGCACCGCAGGGTACCCGCTTCCACGGCCGAACTCCCCCGCTCTCCGCCTGGGGAGCAAGGGGGGCATCGGCGGGGGCGGCAGAGGGGCCGCGGAGGGGCTCGCTCGCTCGCTGAGCCCCAGGCCCGCAGGCGCCTTCGGGCGGATCCGAGGGGTTAGGAGGCGGAGGGCGGTGTCCAGGGACCAGGTCCCCAACGCTCCCCCAGACTCAGGACGCGGAGAGAAGGGGACGCTCTACAGCCCGCAAGCCAGGAGCTCTGAATCCACCAGGCGCGCGGGGCGCGGGGAGGGGGCGGGGCTAACGGGGGTGGGGAGAGAGGGGCGGGGCCAACGGGAGTGTGAATGGGGGGAGGGGCTAACGGGGGCGGGGCTAACGGAGCGGGAAGGGAGGGGAGGGGCTAACGGGGGAGGGAGGGGGCGGGGCACCCGAGCCTGGCGGGTCGGGCGCGGGCGGGAGGGGGTGGGCCGCAGGAGACCAAGTCCAGACTGGAAGCCCGGGGGGGACTCGCCGGCCTTTCTGCGGGAAAGACCCGCCGCGGACACAGATCCAGACCCGGGACCCGACGCGGCGCGCGAGGTTCCAGTAAAAAGGAACCGACTTTGCTTCCTAACGTTTGTGCGGACGAAAAGTGCCGAAGGGTCTTTAGAAACGAGCGTCAGGGGGACAGCCCGGCCCCCGTGGGACGCCCGGGTTGGGGCACGGCCTCCTCTGCTGCGGGAGCGCGGGGGGTGCTTGCCTCTGGGGTGCGCGTGGGAGGGACGAAGGCGAGGGGTGCGGCGGGGTCTCCGGCGGAAGACGAGTCGCCGAACCTGCACCTGCACCCGAAAAGCCTCATTCCGACCCGTGCAGAGACAGGGCCCCCCGCTGCTACCAGCTCCCAGCCCCGGAGGGCCCCGCTGCCCAGCGCCCCGCGAGGCTGGCCTGGGGGTGCGGAGCCCAGACTGGACTGGGGCTCCGGCTGCTCGCACCCCGCGCGGAAGGCCCCGCACCCCGCGGACCGCGCGTTCCCGGCTGAGCGGTAGGCCGCCCAGGGCGCTGGACCCAGGGCCGCGGGACACAGACGCGGTCTCCCGGTGCAGGAGGGTGAGAGGCTCCCGCCTGCTCCCGGGAGCCGCCGGGAGAGGGCGTCGTGCCCGCAGGAACCCGCGCGAGGGCCTCCCGGAGGGGCCGGGTTTCCCGGGGCTCCCAGCTGGGAAGCACCCCCTCCTGCAGGCTTCCCGCGAAGAAGTCTGAGGACAAAGTCGGTGACTCCTGAGAGCAGCCCAGCGGTCGGGGGAGGGCTTCCTGCCCCCCAAACGCCAAAGAGTCCTGATGCTGCCCCCTGGGCCCCCTCCCCCGTGACCCTACACCCCCACAAAGCTTTGAAAATGCAGATCTGTTTCCTTGTGCTGTGGGTCCTTTCTGCAGGCGTGAAGGGCTCCCCCCAGGCACCCCACCAGAGAGGTCTGACCACCCCATCCACTCCTGCACCCAGGCCTCTGGGGTCCCCCACGGTTCCCCAGAAGGTCTCCTGCTCTGAGCACCTCCCCCAGGTCCCTCCAGTGCTGGGGGAGGTGGCGGCCGCTGGGCCTCTGTGGGCTGGCGGGGCAGTGGTCTAGCGAGGGGCGGGCTGCACCACTGGGGACGGCCGGCACAGCACCATCCACCCTGGAGACTGAGCAGATGAAGGAGGCCAGAAGGGGTGGAAGAAGGGACTCTCTCAGACTAGGCTCTGAGCACCACCACGGCCGGGTCCTGGAGAGGAGCCCCGGCTCTCAGACTAGGCTCTGAGCGCCACCACCGCGGAGTCCTGGAGAAGAGCCCCCGCCCCCATGTGTGCTACCCGGTATCCACATCCCCATGCGTGCTACCTGGTATCCACATTCCCGGGAGCACCAAGCCTGGAGGAAACAGAAGGCAAGACACTGCTCCTGACCCCTGCAGCAGCTCCCATCCATGCCCCCTATCCCCAGTCCCTCTCCCAGCCCCTTGGAGCTGCCAGTGACCCCAGTCCCGGGTCCAGCTGTGCCCATTACGGCTGGCACAGACTCCCACCGCCCTGGCCTCCCGTCCCCGTGCAGACAAGCTGGGTGTGGGAGAGAGGACACTTTGCCCAGCGTCAGCCCTCCCCACCCACAGCTGCCGCTCCCCCTGACTAGCGCCCACCCAGGCGTCTCTCCCAGGACTGCCCGGCCACCCTCCTAGCACCACACGCGCCATGCGGCCCAGAAACATGGATGACCGGCAGGAGCTAGGAAGGGTCTGGGGGACCCCCATCTCGACCATCTTGTCCGAAGCAGGTGGCCCAGCGGTGGAGGGGCTTTCCAGCCCGCGGTCAGAGAAGACTGAGGCTGGCTCCGGGGTCAGGGAGGCCGACAGCTTAGAAAAGGCATCTCACCCCAGCATCCCGCCTGCCCCGCTCATCCGCTCATCCCCCGGGAGCCCACCCCAACACCCCCACAGGCCTGAGCCCCCAGCCCCTCTGCCCCTTCC